CGATAGTGTTTTAAATTTGATACAGTCCTAGAGGTTACATGAAGTATCATTTGTACAAAATATGTAACAGGTCGGTCTACATTGTGATATAGCCCCCCTCAAATGATATAGCTCCTTTCAAATTCCTCAAATGTTGTTAATTTAAGATTTTAGAAAGAACAACACATTCTTTCAAATAATAATAAGTATTGGACCACGCTTTGATGTATCCCTTATATGAAGGTGTCCGCTGATTTCAGCTATTTCCAGGGTCTTAGTCACATTTTCAATTGATTTTACCCTTATTTGGCATCTTAGCTTCTAAAGGGGTAAAAGACCTGTTCGCGGAAATTTTTCAATGTCAATGTTTCGGAGAAGCGCCCATATAAAAGTACCTCCCGATTTTCCAATTTCGAGGGTTTTGACTATTTTAAGTATATATGATGTATATTTTTTTTAATATATGTGATTTATTATTTAGGTTTTTAACTCTCATATATATATATATATATATATATATATATATATATATATATATATATATATATATATATATATATATATATATATATATATTATAGTTTTCCGATTAGAACTCATTAACTCGGGAATAACGAACTTCTACAAATTTTACATTGAGCACATTATATTACGAACAATATTTTTACTCGATTTAGCGAAAACAAGGCCAAAATGTGAATGAGAGTTAGCGATGCTATGTTGATGTCTACTCAGCGACGGAATGAGAAAAAATTATAAGTGTTAATTGAGCGAGGACCTTTGTGACACTGTAAAACCCCTGATCACATTTTAAAATGTGTGTACAATGGGTACAACAAAATAATATAAATCAGGTCTCCAATATTGAAAATATTCACGAAGAGGCGATATAAAAAAAAGCAGTTAAAAAACTGTAAGTTCAGCCGGGCCGAACTTTTAATACTCTCCACCATTTGGTACAAATTTGGCAATTTCCAAAAAATTAAAATGCAATAAAAATTCTGTTAAAATCATAAAAATACCGAATATAACCTTATGTCGGGGTCTGTAATATAAAAAATAATAATACAAAAAAAAAAAAAATACAAAATACACAAACAAAAATTAAATTTTGTTCCGTTGAAGTCAACAAAAATAGAATTCAGTTCCAGTACTAACGTGCAGTTGAAATACACTGTTTTGATGGCACACACGCGATCTTTCAATGAAATGTACAATGATCATTTTGTATGAATGCTGCAAACCTTTTAAGGTTTGAATAGTCGTCGGCTTATTCGCTTAAAAAAACTGAAAGAAAAAAATCTAATGTTGTTAAATCGCACGATCCAGGCGTCCAATTCTGGTCTCCAAAACGGGAAATGACTGATGCAGGAATTGAATTGTTTCAAAGGACTGAATGGTTATCTTATGACGACATAAAACAATATTGACTGTTTGCCCTTGACCTCATTTTTGTAAAAAAGTCCAATAATTCCTCAAGCGCAAAAACAACACCATATATAGTGAAATTTTGAGGGTGCATTTTCGTGTTGTCTCTCCATTCACAATGAGAATGCGTTGTTCATTTGTGGAATCCAAATTTTAAACAATGGCACTTTGAATAGCTCCAAATTTAAAAATTGCGTCCTAATTGGGACTCCCTATAGTTTGACTTTTTCTAATAAGTAGGAGGATATAAAACACAAACAAACACACTCATTAATTGATGAAAAGTATTAAAACAAAGTTGAACTTTAAATTCCTCAGTAACTACTGAACCGAATTTGATCGTTTTTGATTCCGCATAAATCTGATACCAGTCGAACAAAATATATGAAAATAACTGAGGCGTTCGTTTAAATGTTACAGAATCTTGACCAGAAAAAAGACGATTCTAAATAACTATTCGGTGTACCATTTAGGAACAGAAGACAAACATGCAATTTATGTTGTTACACAAAGAATGCAGACAGGATTACTAGACAACGAGAGGCAGAGTCAACATTTTTCAGAATACGAGGGCGGTTCGGAAAATTCTTAGCCTATCAATGAAAGAGAATAGTTAGTTTTTCAAAAATATTTTTATTTTTTAATATAATCTCCTGAAACTTCAATACACTTAGTCTAGCAATTCTATCCCTTGATTAAAATAGTTTTCCTGAAGGTCTTCAAAATAGTGGTTCACAATTGTAATTGCATCTTCATTTGAGGTAAAACGCTTGCAAGCAAGGATTTTTTTTAGATAAAAGCCACTGGTATCTAAATAAGGAGAATAAGGTGGGCGGTCAAGCAACTCGTACTTTAATTCGTCAATTTTAGCCATTGTTAAACCACTCTTGTGCACTGGTGCGTTGTCATGATGAAAAATTATTTTTTTGTGTTGTAAGCCATGACGTTTTTCTCGTCGATCGTTTAATACCAAATCATGCACTTTGGCTACAATTTCTGTTTTAGTTGCTGTTTTTGGACGTCCACTACGTGGTTCATCTTCAATGCTTGTACGACCACGTTTAAATTCAGCAAACCAATTTTTCACTGTTGCATATAAAGAAGCACTTTCAACTAACACATTCACCATATTATTATGAATATCTTGTCCCGATAAAATTTTTTTTATGTAAATATATTGTAAACAAAATTGCGGATGCATCTTTTGCCAGATCAAAACAAAATTTAACATGTGTTCATATTGGAAGTTTCCAAAACACTTAACATTTTTCTGTTTATACCGCGCTTTTTGCAGTAGGCTAGGCGTGAGTGATCTCAGGTAATTTTCGCAAACAAATAAATACAACGATCGGGTTTCTATTATACATCAAAAATTTGCCATCCCAAACTAGATTCCTGCTCCAACACAGGAAACAATCACTCCAACTGGCTGTGGACAACCATCCGTGTTTGATAATAATGTACTTGATCGACATTGGCACCCAACAACAACCCCTAGTTTGATTCGGGTGTGTCTCTGCCAACGCACAGAGGGGTATATCAAAAAATAACGGAGGTTTATGGTACCCAGTAAGGAAAAGTCAAAAGTCGGGTGGGGCCGACTATACAGGGTGAGATAAAAAAACTGCAACAAAGTCAAACGCCATAATTTTTACATTTGTATACCCTCCATCATAGTATGGAGGGTACATTAAGTTTGTCATTCCGTTTTTAACACCTCGAAGTATATATATTCTTGATCAGCATAAAATTCTATGTCGATTTAGCAATGTCCGTCCGTCTGTGGAAATCACTCTAGCTTCCGAACGAAATAAAGTAGGTTGATACAATTTTACTCAAATGTGTATTATGTCTGCAGGATTTTTGGTATTGAAAATGTGCCATGCAGATCCACGTCTTCGTATAGCCCCCATATAACGGTACTTCCCGATATGAGGTATTTTGATGATTTTAGCGACATTACTTACTGGAATTGTTTCAAAGTTGGTACTTAAAGTTCGTAATAGATACTACGGCTAAAGACAGAAAATGGGCCATGTAGGTCCACGTCTTCATATAGCCCCCATATAACGGTACCCCCAATATTCGGTATTTTTTAATGATTTTAGAGACATTATTTACAGGAATTGTTTCAAATTTGGAATTTTAAGTTCGTAATGGATACTACACCCTAAAACAGAAAATGAGCCATGTAGGTCCACGTCTTCGTATAGCCCCCATATAACGGAACCTCCCGATATTAGGTATTTTGATGACTTTACAGACATTATTTACCGGAACTATTTCAAATTTATTATTTGAAATTCCTAATGAATACTACAACCTATGACAGAAAATTGTCTGTGGTACCATATAACGGTACCACCGATATTAGGTATTTAGATGATTTTAGCGACATTATTTACCTGAATTATTTCAAATTTCGCATTTGAAGTTCGTAATGGATAATACAGCCTATAACAGAAAATTGTCTGTACAGGTCCACGTTTTATAACCCCCATGGTACCTCCCTTCGGTATTTTTATGAATTTAGCTACATTATAAACAGATTTTTTTCAAGTTTCGCATTTGAATATTGTAAGAGCTTGTGACAAAACTCGTCGTCGTATAGACCTTAACAGAATTTTTAACGGAGTTTTTTTTTTTTGAAAATTGCCAAATTTGTACCAAATGGTGGAGGGTATTCAAAGTTCGTGTCGGCCGAACTTACAGCTTTTTTATTGAATAAGTTTAGATTTGTTAGAAATGGTCACCTTTGGCACGAATTATGGCCTTCAAACGGCCAATAAAACCGTCACACGCTGCCCAAGTGTTGCTTTGCGGTATTTTGACCCATTCCCGGCGAAGCGGGGACAACGAATGTTTTCTCATCGGAGAAAACTAAATTCGGCAGTTCACCACTTCCGGCCAAGCGAAGCAACTTTTTAGCTATTTTGATTTTTCAATATTTACCGAATGGAATATTGCGATATGTATATACGTTCACGAGCCATTTTTCGGCCGCTGCGACGTGGGTTTCGGTCAAGTACCTTCTTTACTTTTCGAACCATTTCGTCGGGCTACGCTACCAGTATCACGGTAACGAGCGGTGGTACGAGACACAAAAGATTTATTCACATTAAAATGCTGGAGTGCTCTAACGATATCCACTTGTGTTTTTTTAGCCAAATATAAAGAAAGCACACTATCACAAATAACTTTGTTCTGGAAAATTCTCACCATAATGAGCTGTCACTGGAAAACCGCTGTCGGACGAGTGGCTTAGAAATTATAGCAGTCTGAATTTGGTTGCAGTTTTTTTATCTCACCCTGTATTTACCTAACATCAGTTTGTGGTATTGATCCAGCACAGAACCATCAAATATTAATCTAATTAACTTCTTCAATCAAAATTACGCAATTTGTAAATTTCAGAACGAATTTTCCAACTTACATCTAACAAAATCAAATTATGCTAAATTTCGAGTTTTTCCGAAATTTTATAGTAAATAAATGAAACGAAGGTAAACCCGTAAAATTGTAATCAAAAAAAAAAATTGCCGAGGCAAAGCAGAACGTTATTCGTCTTTTTAACCGTTATATATTATACTAACCTGAAGGCAATGACTGCGTTCGACGCCATGTATTCAAAGATTTTCTCCATTTTCCTGGTTGCAAGGTAATTCCTTTGTTCATTATTTGGGAACTTATAGATGGTGAGTTTCTACTTCCTCGTGTTACAATATTACTGTCAAAGCACACATTTTTGAGCGCTCGATTAACATTTTTGTTTTGTAACACCAATGATAAAGGTGACCCCAGCTGAAGTTTGTTATTTGAACTTTTCTTTTGTAATGACACTACATTTTCGGCTAAGGATGGATGAAGGTCATTTTTATAACTCGAAGCGACATCGAAGGATATAGATTCGACAGAATTTTCTCGCCGTTTTTGATTCGGGGAGTCCCAATTTCCTATGGGCGACAAAGCACATTTAAATGGATTCTTAAAAACATCCCCTCTCGATGGAGTAGAAACAGAATCAATGGTCTTCTCGATTTTGTCTTTGTGCAAATGTGACTTGCCAAATTGAAGTACATTTGAAGAAGGCGTTGTTGGCATATGTTGTTCCTTAAATTGCTTTTCAGATAAAGCGGTAGTTATATCAAAGCAGCTATTTTCATAACTAGAATTCAAGTTAAACGATGCATGGACATCTCTCTTCAGCAAATTCATTTCTCTTAAAGCTCTGAAAAAATAAGTAGAAAAATATTTGCAAAAATGTTTTATTAAAAATTTGTAATGTAAAAAGTGCTACAGTACCTTCAATATTGAGCGATTGTGCCTTTGTTTAAAGGCAAGCTTACATAAAAATAACTTGAAAATGAATAAAAAAACTGGTCAAATTATCTAAAGTCCCAGCGGATTTTTTTGCACATACATCTCCCAACTGAGACCACTGACAACGAAGGTGCGACTCATCCAAAGCCTGTATACAATATCTACTTACATTTACACAGCGATGGCCTAGGCCGTCAGACGTGTCCGAAATCTACCGACAATGTAAGCGAATGTTGGATGGGTCCGAAATCTACCGACATTATAAGCGAAGGCTGGATGGGTTCGAAATCTATCGACATCCGATTCAAATGCAAGTGCGATGGACACATTTTATTATATTTTGTTTGTTCTTTAGTTCTAATATGGATTTTGTAATAGCAATACGACTCATCTAAATCGGATGCTAGTTGTATGCTATTAACCACTGTTATTTCATTTTTTCCTATTGACAAAATAGTAATTAATAGTTGGCGATTATAAACACACAGATCCTTTATTTTCACATAATATAGTCTATGATAAAATTAATGGTTTCTCAAAAAAGTTCTCCCGAATTTCAAACAAAAAGGATACAAAATGCAGTAAAAGTTTAAAGCTATGTGATTTTTATGTTTTCAGAAACATTGTGATTTTACTATGACTGTTGCGAAGCAGCGAAAATAAATAAAAGGAAAAAATGAAACACAATTAATTAGAATTATTGATAATAATAATTGGCGGTTTTATTGAATGTTAGTCGAAGAACTAATATTATTTACCTTTTTAACAATGGGTGTTGCTCAATGATGTTAGCTGGACGAAAATCCGAATAACAAGCAAGTGTAAAAGTAGCGAGCAAGCCTAGATGTCACAAGAAAGGCGCGAATTGATCATATTTGCTCGTTACAATTTGTCATCACTAACTTTGAACGAAAGTTTAAAGTTGAATAAAATGGTATTTGACAAATTGAAGAAAAAGAAGAAAGAATTGTATTTTTATTTTTTTGTTAAAGTTTCCGCCGCTCTTGGAAAATCTAGCGATGTTAATTCTTAACTTATAATAAGATTGGAAATATAATTATAATAAATAAGAGGAGCATAATAAATTCTTTTTTTATTACATATGTATATATATATATATATACATATATATATATATATATATATATATATATATATATATATATATATATATATATATATATATATATATATATATATGGTCGAATAACCATCCAGACAAACGAACATTGCCTCCAAAAATCAGCTTGACAATAGAGACTGATGTTGGCTGATCATCTCTGGCTATCCTACAGTGGACAACGACCCGATATCACCCAACCAAAAATGGTTAATTGAGCCCAGGGGTACCCGGGACTCGAATAAGTCTGTGACTTTATTACCTTCGGGTACACATCAGGCCCAAGAATGAGCCCCACGTGAGCGGACTTATGGAATTCCGGATCTGCCAATTGCATCCCGGCATAATGGTCCTTGAAATATTCGGGGGCTAATTGAGATGGCGTGACCACATGCCTCAAGGACATACTTCTGCCGGAAACGCGCAGAAGTTGGGATGAATCATGAAATGATTCGCAAAGTAAGTTGGCAATAAAGATCTTGGCCAACGTTTAGAGAATTGAGCTGAAGCTTACTAGCCAGCGTTGCGGCTATGTCCAGCGCAGGGGTCCAACAGCGCTCTGACTGGTACTTTTCTATCCGGAAGGATAATATTAACCATTATTGTCGGTCCCAGCGTAACAATGGACTGAATGCACTGTATAGTCGGAACAACAAAGCTCGACGGCTTGGACGAGACTGGACAAGGAGGAGCGGACAAACTTGATTTAGAGCACTTCTTTGGAACAGACTTTTTCGAAGTGGGTATATGCGACGAGGTGGATGGACGAGACGTGAAATCTTTTTTACCCGAAGGTCGAACTTTTCCTTTGGAGAGGGACTTTTTCCTTGGATAGGGGCTTTTTCCTTGGATAGGGGCTTTTTGCCGAGGTGAAGAAGTGTATGGTGGTCACCTTTACACTTCTGACAACGATGTGGACTCAAACATTTTCGGAGGGTATGTGACCTGCCTAAACAATTGGATCAGAAATTCTCCTGTACCACAAATCGCATCCTTTTTTTCGCAGGTCAATTTAAGAAACTCGGCACATTCCCGAAGGACGTGCCTCTGTGTGCATAAAACACATTTAGGTCCCTGTTGTCGAATGGATCTGGCCACTGTGCAGTTGTAGAGGAGCAGCGGTGTCTGCGCCTGTGATCGAAAGGCCACTGAGGGATAGCTCCTGCCGGTTGGGTGGAAAATCCCTGATTTGGCGCAGGCTCTGCAGTGCAATTCTCCCGAAGCGGAGTCTGTTTGATCGGCCGTAGAGCCGGGTGAGTTGGCTGGTAGTGCCGTTACAGGTTCCCGAAGAGGAGTCGCAGCATTGCTGACCCCGCGTATATCGGTGTCCTGGGAGCCCAAAGGAATAATGTCATTCTCAATACCTCTCTCTTCATCCGACATTGAGATGTCCTCATCATAGTAAGAAAGGGAAGCGGCCATCTGACTCAAATTTTCCATCTGTGAAAAAAGTGGAGATGGCATGGGAGAGTGGTGAACATTTTAATCTTCGTCGGTCAAAATGACCAGTTTAACTACAGGTCTTCTTACGATACCGTTTTCCGATTTAATATCAGCGACGCGAACGTGACCGTCAATTCCCGGATAAACTTGGACAACGCGATCTAATTTCCACGCTGTGGGAGGTAAATCGTCTGGTTGAATATCGCGTTGCGGAAATTTCCACTTGTAACGATGATGGAGGCTCTTTAAATATTCTTCTTTTCACCGAAGGCAGAATTATTGTGAGAGCGCTTTTAATTTTCTATACCGGTTAACGATGTTCAATGGAGATTCATCTATTATGGGCTCCGGAGGAGTGAGAATCGGAGATCCTATAAGGAATGTCCAGTTGTAAGGGCTACCGTAGAGTCAAGACTATCAGTCATGGTACAGAGCGGACGAGAATTAAAGCACGCCTCAATTCTTGTGAGCAATGTAGCAAATTCTTCAAACGCATATTTGAAATTTTTAGCCATTTTTCTAAAATGAATTTTAAAGCTTTTAATCGCAGCTTCCCAAAGTCCAACCATATATGGAGCTCCAGCTGGGTTAAATCTCATTGATAAAACTTTGATCGGAGTTTATCACGAATTTCATTTAATGCTTGCTTAAATTCCCGTTCTATTTCTCGAGATGCACCAACAAAGTTAGTGCCGTTGTCCGATATGACAGTCTTTGGACATTCACTACGAGATATAAATCTATTAAATGCAGCCAGGAAGGTAGTGGTAGATAAATCCGAGGCTGGCTCTAAATGCTTTCGTAGAAAAGCACACGAAGACACAAACATACCCCTTTATAATTTTACAACATATAACTGTAAAGGATTTAATGTCGAATGGGCCAGCGAAATCGATACCTGTAGAGGTGAAAGGCCTAACCAAAACCCTTCTTTCTGGAGGCAGAGATGCCATAATTTGGGTACAAGTACGTTTCTTTGCTAAGACGCACAATTTGCAATGTCTTATGGTTGACTTAATCAGTGAAGTAGCGCGAGGAATCCAGTACTCCATGCGAAGCATACGGTGCATTAATTGGATTCCTCCATGGAGCGAATCTATATGAATTTGTTCCAACAACAATCTTGCGAATTTACTATTATAAGGTAAGAGAATAGGATGCCGTTCAGAATAGGATAGAGTCGGAAACTGCGATAGGCGTCCATTCAATCTCATTACCCCTTCTTTATCCAGAAATGGATAATATTCCTCTGAATAATATGCCATTTGAGCAAGCGCAGCAAGAGGTAATTTTACTGCAACATTCTCTTGAATGCGACATACCCTATTGGCAACGAAAGTAGACCATGTAGATGGAGTTTTTTGAAGCCAAGAAAGGATGATCGTAGAATCGGTCCAACAAAAGATATTATTAAAAGATATGTCAATTTCACTCAAAATACCCTTGACAAGTTCTGATGCTAATACAGCACCGCATAATTCTAAGCGAGATAGGGAAATGGACTTAAGCAGAGCTACTTTTGTTTTGCAAGTCAGCAAATTTGTGAAAATTTCCCATTTGAAGCGGGTATGCCTTTTCCGAGGCATCGGAAAAGACATGAAGTTCGACATGGCAAAGAGGTGAATATTTGACCCAACGAGGAATAGATATGGAATTAACACCCTGATAGGAAAACACAAATTTTTCCCATTCGCGTTCTGTCGAAGATGGAAGCGAATCGTCCCAACCAATGTTGTCTAGCCAAATACGCTGCATGATGATTGTTGCTACAACAATTACTGGTCTTAACCATCCTACTGGATCGAAGAGCTTGGCGATGGTTGACAAAACTTCCCGTTTAGTATATGTGGACCGGTGTTTCAGCGGGTTTACACTGAAATAGAAATGGTACAACTGTGCATTCCAGCGAATGCCATGCGGTCTTGAACTACTAGCTTCCACGAAAGTGAGAAGCTTAGAAATGGTCCAACTGTGCATTCCAGCGAATGCTCTGTAGTCTTGAACTACTAGCTTCCACGAAAGTGAGAAGCTTAGCATCGTATAGGTGATCTAAAGAAAGACAATCTAAAATTTCTCGATTATTGGCTGTCCATTTACGAAGTTCAAACTTCGCGGAAGAAAAAGCACCAATGAGTTGGTCTCTTGATTTTTGCGCTGTCTCCAGATCGTGATAGCCGGCCAAGACGTCATCTACGTACATGCACTTCCGAAGGATATGTGCAGCTAGCGGAAATTAATTTTCTGTAAAATCGGTCAACTGAAGTAAAGTCCGAATCGCAAGATAAGGAGCACAGTTTACTCCGAAGGTTACCGTTTGAAGTTCAAAGTCTTGAACCGGTTTGTTG